ACCCTGCCTTATTTCTTACCGAGAAAACACCAAGAATCTACCAAGAGCGTACTTGTCCTTGTAGATAGGGGAGTTTTTCTCTTTGCCATTTTCCATTTTCCATTTTCGATCTATCATTGCCATTGCCATGGCGCGGGGAATGTCTTGGGTATGCAGCGTGTAGTTAGTGGTATGTAGTATGGGCATTTAGCTCACCAGGCTGATCATTTTTTGGCGCACACTCTCTCATCGCCTCGTCCCTTTTCACCGGTATTTCGTTCCATGCTGTCTCTGCGGGTGTCTTTTCCATGTCTTTTTCAAGTATGTCATGTCATGTCATGATCATTGATCAACCACTTATCTCTTCACCCCCTACCTCTTCCTATACTGCCTGCTTACCTACTTGCCTAGGTAGGGATGGCGGGTTTTTTTTTTTTTCTTTTTAATTCCATCCTCTCTCCCATTCAGTCCCACCAATGCCATCATAGTTCCTGGTATTGGCTTGGCACCTAATTAAAGAACTGTCCGATCTATTTGATCCACGATCACTTTTGTCCTTGATTTCCCCATCTGGCAAAAAGGCGGGGGAAAAGTCTTGGGACCGGCAAGGGTCGCAGGGTGGCAGGCTGGCAGGGGATCTGGCTCGCTGGGGAGGTGTTTATTCACGTTCTACTCGCATCTGGTCCTGGACTCGGGACTCTTTCTTTGACCACCATGCCACCATTAACACGATATGTGAAAGATGAAGGACGAAGGCGAAGTTGCATCCCACCGAGGCATCAGGTATCTAGTAATGGCCAAGAATGGACCCCTGGTTCTCGGACTCGGACTCGGATTCGCATATCCGCTTGGGTACAAAATGCCATCTGCATGTTTACCCTCCACCGTTATCTATACCCATGTTGATGCTCTTCAGGCCTCCCATCGTAAGTATATCGTGCAGAACCGACAGGAGCTAGAAACGACTACATTCGCCTCGACGGTCCAGCGTGAGTCCTCTCCAGAAACCGGGTATAGCCTTATGCTGGGTCCCTCACGTTTGCGTATCCCTTTCCCTCCCCCTCTCTAACTTTCCCGGTCTCAATGCTAAGGAATTCGGCTCCCCGGAGGCAAAAGATAGCCCTGCGCCCGTTGCTGACCCTCTGACCCTCTGACCCGGCTAAATGCCCGAATCCTCCTTTCCATCTTTGGAGCGGGGTAGGCCATCTCCTCGAGTAGAGGCTGACACGAGCAACTATACACCCTGCGTGCGGAACGCGTGTCAGAACTCTGCAAGACTGATGCGGTACGACTCCACCTCATCCGCTTTCAGAGCATCCTTGATTGTGTTGGCGGTGCTCGACTCGCGGCCGATACGATGGGGTACAAGCTTCATAGGACCGCAAAAGCGCTCACGTAGCTGACACTGCTATCCCTGACTGTCTCGGCGTCGCTGCTTCGTTCGTACCGCATGAACCTGAACCGTCTGCGGTCCCCCGGTTCACCACCCTTCTCCCGCTCCAGCCGCTCCACCTCCTCAAGGCCAGCCATGAATACACCGATGGGATGCCGCCCACAGACGGTGTTGCCGGTTTCCTTGAGCACACGGAGGAATTCTGAATGTTCTCCCGTGGCGATGGCGCACATGCAAGCCCGGTCAGCGTGTGCGATGCTCTCAAATATCCGTGGTCCGTCCTTGGGAACCGAATTCCTCGAGCCTAGATTATGACCGAGTCCCAGTGTGGGCATCTTGTGTACATCTTCATTGACGGACTCTTTTGCCGTGGTCGACTCTCCTCGCACGCCATTGGGAAGTGTGAGCGGCGACGGAGCCGGGCTGGGTGCGTCGGGGAGGTAGTACGTATAGCCAAACCGACTTCCCCAGTGACAGAAATCCGACGAGATGACAAAGGCATTGCTTTTATCTGCGATGTATGGAGCCAACATTTTTCCCAGCGCAGCCTCCGTTGCAGGGTTCGTCCCTCCGACCATGATGGGGACGAGAGGGGGGTATGAGGACTCGGGCTTGCCGGGGTATAGCTTTTGGAGGAGACGGTGGATGTACGGCAGCTGCATCTCGGCGCTGTGTTCGGCCTCATCCACGGCCTGAGACATGGTGGTGAATTTGACCGTGCGACCTTGGACGACCGTAGAGAGAGCGGACAGTTCTTGGATAGTCTGATGATCGAGAGGAAGAGGCGTGCTGGAGAGAGGGGTCTCGTAGGCGTCCACGACGGACAACGCGGCCGTGCTCAAGTGGTGGTGATGGGACGGGTGGAGGATGAAGATGCGTTTGGCCTTGGACAGGTCGAGGCATTTGTACGCCCATGCCGCACAGGGACCAGAGTATGCGTACCCTGCGTGAGGAGATATCACCACTCGGGCTCCTGGCACTGGCAAGCTGTCGACGCCAGGAAGTACGCCTGTCTCGGGCACTTGTGAGAGCCACTGGTCGAGTTGGGCTGCCAGTTGTCGGCCATTGCCAGAGTACCACGACCCGGCATGAGAGGCTTCTCTCACAGCCATCTTGGCAGGAGGAAACTAGAGAACTATGAGGCCAGGAGTAAGATGTCAACACCTTCACAAGTTATTAGAGAGTTGTGGTTGGCGAGTGGTCGATGATCTCCCACCTGGGATGAAGCCTAAGTTGTCCCAAGCTGGGTCACCAGGGCCATCCTCACCTCGTGGCTCAGACGTGTGCGGGGATCCTTTAGCGCCTCTGTTCTGTGGAAAAGGTTCCATTCTCTACCCTCGTCATCAAACGCCCGTCGCGCCCTTAATTGTTCAATTGCCTCATCATAATATTCTGCCAGTGTCCATTTCCTAGACAGTGTATCAATTCTGTTGTATCTCTACTCTGTACCTCGTACAGAGAGCCATTCCATGCGCGCAACCCAGTCCTTGTCTCGATTGGACGCCTGAAGCTCTCACCAGCCACCCCCATTTCTTCGCGCGCTTCCGACGCGTATAGTGGCTATTCGCTCGTCCCACGCGTCACTCCTCACAAAACGCTCGTCTCTCTACCCCAAGTACCTCGTTCCTACAACCACAATCTACTAGTTGTGCACAGCGATAGAAGCCCCAGCAAGCATGAGCAAACGAAAGGCCTCCACCTTTGAGGAGGACATGTACAATTTCCAACCATACACCATGATTCCCTCCACGCCCTCGACGACGTCGTCCCCTCTGTCTTCCACCAGCACGATCTCATCCAACAGCGACGCGAACCCTTACGGCTTCCTCAGAGTCAAGGCCGTACCTTATCTCAACAGCCGGACGCGCAAGAGGTATCGCGACGGTCGGCCAGACGAGGAGACCATCCACGAGAACACCCTGAAGAAACTGTACGAGGCCCAACGACTGCATCTCGATGAGGCGATGCCCATGTCGGACGTGATTCCGTTTGGTGAAGACGGCCTGCCCGTGGATGAAGCCGACGCCGAGATGACCGACGAGGTCCCCGAGGCGGAGATACCGCACGCCGCGCAATCGAACCAGACTACGATCGACGCCTTTTTCGGTGGTGGGCGAGGATGCGTTGCACAATCTCGGGCAAACACAGTAGAACTGCGGCCGAGCCCTTTCGCCTCGCTTTTCAGCGCTTCCAGCAGACCGCGACAGCAGATCCAGAGGACCTGCTCTGACTACTGGAACAATCCGACTCTGCAGTCTGTCAGTGACTCCGCCACTACCGCCCGATGACGACTCGACCTTGGTTTCATGATCAAAAAAAACCGAAGACCGCTACGCTGCGTGAGCAGCACGCAGCCATGCCATGGAAAATGAGACACGGCAAAATCTACGGACAAAGATCTACGGAACATAAGGAGAGAGGGCTCTTCGTGGAATGTCTGTGCCGACCAGTAGTCTGAGGATGAAACCGCTGATGCGGTCCTGGAAAGATAAGGGAAAAAACGGAGTCACCACCAGGTTTGAAGCAAGCTCGACATCCATGCCAACACCTCCCGTCTTCCGCTTTGCATACAGATTCCAGCGTAGGAGTTGTTGGTCTATTGTGGGCATCAAAAGTTTGGCCAAAAAAAAGGCGTGAGCGTGGATGCATTTCAAAGGTCAACATACCGCAGGACTGGGCTGCTTTGGTACATCAATAGATCGTCTACTGAAGCCAACAAGTCTCAGTTGACTTCATCTGCTTGCCTCTGACCAACTACTATTGCGGGAGATAATGCCGCAATTGACAGACATTCGTTCCCGCGGACGACTGCCCATGTGACTACACAATCGATTCGTTCTTGATTGATTTGTTTCGATATGACTATCACCATGCACGAAGAGAAAGTGAGCGGCCACTGAAGCAGATAGATGGATAACTCATAGGTACATAAGATCCATGTCAAACGCTGTGATATGATATTGACTTTGGATGTCCACTTACTATGACGCCACCGAGCGTGCCTTTACCATAGAAGAAAATCAATCCCATTGTCACGTCGTTTCCCTTCCCATTACCCATGCAACAGAGAATTTCAAGCCCGATGTCGGGGTAGCGCAGAACGGACGAGTATCCTTAATGCAATGCAGCAAGCCATGTATCATATGTCCTTTGTGCGCCCATGCCTGAGTCCGTGTTCTCCAATGTAAGCCCGAATTTTGTCGAGAATTTATGCATCGTATCATCATGAGTGCTGGTGGATGTTTGTGCTGCGGCCAAAATGTGTACGTCCACGTCCATGTTGTGGTTGTAAATCCTGCCCCGGTCGTCATTTTCGTGAATTGATGATGGGCCACCCCTGGTAAGATCAGCCCATCCATCGACTTTGTCGACCCGCCTTCGTCGATGGCGGGTTTGCAGGTGCAAAGCTAGTGCTTTGTCCACTAAATCTCCTCCGTACCAATATGCTTGCTAACTTTATCTCCTTTCCTGTGTTCCGCTGTGTAATGCCTCAACAGTCGATAGACCAGTCTCGCGAGTCTCCCGAAATCTGCCCTTGCAGAGCGGACGGCCGAGCAGTCAATGTTCAAGATCCCGAATTGACTCTAGACCTATTTCTTCGCCTGGATAACCTTGTCACTTTGGATCTTCAAGGAGATATCTCGTCAGATGGTTCTCCATTGACCACTCGAAAAGGTGCGCTTCGAGCCGGCTCATCCTCTGCGCGTCTGCTGGCGCGATACCGTTCCATCCGTTCATCAAACATGCTGTTAAGCCGATGCTGATATGTCCGGTCCATTGTGTCCAGCGCCAGCTTGACCTTGTCATACGTTTCTCTTGCCTTCTCCCTTGCTAATTTGGTCTTCTCGCATCTCCTGATCAATGGGGTGAGATCCGCAAGTTCCCCGCGAAGTTGAGCCTCAAGCAGTGCAGAATTGGCGGCAATATCCTCGTGGTTCGCACGATTGCAGTCGGATGAAGCCACGCGACTTTGATTTCGCAATTCATCACTTTGGCGTATTCGCTCTTCTCGTAACTGGAGGACGGCACTCCTGGTCTCGGGACTCAGTGCCTCAGGGAGCGCCAAAAAGGATCGGGCTGATCGGTAGTTGGCATAATACATCGAGCCTCCAACTCGCCGCATTCTTGAACGCTCTGGCTTTGCACTAACATTGAGCTCAATCTTGGCGTCTCCTTTCAATGATTCTGGTGCTTTAAACTCGACACCCTCATCCCACGACTTGTCAGTGACTGGTGGAACAACATTGTTCAACATGCGTCTCGCATCGATGGTTCTACGACACTTCATACAAGCTTTGCTCTTGGAGTATGTCACTGAATTAACCCAGGCGGACAGACAGGTCGCATGAATGGGCGTATTGCAACAGGTAATGACGGCCATGAAATGATCCTTCTCAAACTCGAGCTGGCAGGCTGGACATTCCTTCTTGTGGGATTCCAGCGCTTCGATATCCTCTGTAGTGGCGCGAGTGAGGATCAACATGATAGGCGGTTTCTGCGAGTCGGCGGCCGAGCTTGGTGGTCCCTGCCCGGACGATACAGACGTAGTTGCGACTGGCCGTGGGGGAAAGGCAGCAGACTGAGGCCAGTCCACTGGATAGCCGAAGCTGTTGGCCGTTACACTCGTTGACGATTCCACCGAATGACCAGGTGGTTCTCGCAAGCGCTCGTCCGACTCTCTGTGGTGATGGAAAATAGACTCTTCCAGTGGTCGAACAAGAGCGAATTCTAAATCCGGCGAAAGAGCAGGTTGGTAAACAAAACTTGACATGTTGACGGGTCGTTGATGCTGGCCTGTAGGGGCAAGGTTCTGATAGGCGAAAGGAGGGCCGACACCACGTAAGTCTTGAGTAAAGCCAGAGCCTGAAGCAAGGTACTCGAGCGCAGCATCTTCCTCCATAAAAACGCCGGGTTGCATCAAGCGTGGGGTCTCTTGGAGGGAAGTTGCGAGCAGGTCCCTTGAGGACGGAACCGACGTAGGCACAGAGTTGCGGGGTGGAATTGGTGAATATTCGGCCATGTGTCTGCGAGCGCTTCTCTGGAATTCGATCCTGCGACGCTTGTACTTATAGTCCTCAGGAGAGGGAACTTCTCTGTCAGAGCGTGCTTGAGGTCCGGATGGGTTGTAGCCGTCCCGATGGGGCGGAGACGACATCTGGGGGTGGAAGGACTCCATGCACGGTTGTCAAACGTTGGCTATCGTGGTCAGGTAGCTGTGTCTATGCAGGCAGGTGAGAATTTTTCGGACAAGCCTCAGCAAGTCGGAGAAGTGTAGAAACTAGTCTCTGTCGCTAAGATGGATAGCCGCTGCTTCAAGTTTGGTTGACCACGGATTACGCAGCGAGTATCGGTAGGGGCCGAAGGCTGCTATCGCGATCACCGCAGATCCGGTGAACAGACGGCGTGAAGTACGTCTTTAGGACTAGCTAAACGGCGGAACAGAAAATGTTGAAAGTGATGCTGGAAGGATAAAATGGGTGACAGAGGTGAAAGCAGTGAAAGTCGTAGGAGAAGTGTGGTGAAAGTAAGGTTGTAACGGAATCTGGATCGTCATGCGAGGGGGAGAGGACAGAATCCCCTCAAGTGTCCGGCCTTTGGACTGTAGCGAGGGACCCGAGACCCTTGACCTGGCGCACCTGGAAGTTGGACGTCGGGGATCGGGGAGCGCAGAATGAACCGAGTATTTGCTGAAATATCACTCGGAGACTTGTTGAGTGTGGAGAGAGAGAGAGAGAGTGGAGGAATCAGGTTGAAAGCCAGGTACGAGTAGGTTTCAGCTTTGGCCGAGGTGTCTTATCTTGGTCCCGTGGTCTGTGCTTTAGGAGCACCCAGTGACAAGCCGATATTCTAGGTAAGGAAATCGATGACGCTGGTCAACGTTGTAGGAGAAGGCGAGTGGCTCGGGGGTGATTGGTCGGTGTGTGTAGCATCGGGAGGCTGGATTTCGGAGGTGGAAGGGGTGAAGGATTGAGAGGAAGCTGATTATGGTGAAGTGGAGGAACAGGAGCAGGTCCTCAGGAGTCAATCCGTGGCGGCGGTGAGGGTGAGGGTGACAGTGACAGTGACAGTGACAGATACAGTGGGCAGTCCTTGCCGGAGTAGCAGTAGCAAGGGAGGCAGTAGCAGTAAAAGTAGCCGCGGTGGCGCCGCAGCAGCAGCAGCAGTTTCCTACTTCTCAATTCCTGCTTGTTTCGGACTGTCAGCTTCAATCCTGGCCACCACCACTGGGCACCTGACAGGTACGCCTCCAGTCTCAACCTTGTCACCCACCGTGTGTTGTTCTCAGCCGTCCTTCCGAGCAGGTCCAGCCCCTCAGGTGACGAGACGAGACGAGAGGCAGAGGGTCCTCTGAACGGAACTACGGCAACAACTTGACAAAGAAAAGGGAAATGATGGGAAATGGGCCAAGTAGAGAGCAAGAAGATGCTGGCGGTTACGAGGAGAAGCCGAGTCGACTTCATTTATTCGCTTCTGTCCTTGTATTTCTGCAGCATGTAATTCGGCCCAATGTCAGGCGTATTCAAGGGCAAATCTGCGCTGGTTTGCCACGACAGCCTATTGCCTAGCGACCCTCATGCTTGTCGACGTGGGTGGCTCTGCGAACCATCAGGACAAATCTTTTGTGATTGAGCACCATCCCCTTAGACAAGATGTACCCAATGTTACCAGCCCAGCCTGCCTGATGCCATTACTGGCCATAGTCTGAAGGTGAGCGGGAAACAAAAGTCGATCATTTTCGGACAAACAGACTTGTGAGACTGGAACTTGAGGTCGCCTCGCTGACAGCCGCATTTCTGCCTTGGTTAGAAAGGCGCCGCGCCGTTCAAGGACTCCGAAGGGTACAACCGTGGAGCAACATGTAAAACTCTATGGTGTAAAGTGGAGGAAGTGGAGGGGGTTGAGGATCGGCTATGGTGACACTTGGGTATCTTGACACGAGTCCAGGAAAGAAAGGAAAGTCATGATCAAATCGATAAAGGCAAACAGAGTCAACTGAGATACTGCATATTATTACTGGTTAAGTCAACGTTGGCATGACTATGACTATGACCATGACCACCTTCTCAGCCGTTGTTGCTGTGTCTGCCCAAAAATAGCCCGTCATTTGATTTGGAGGTGCACATCTCCTCCCCTGCCCTCCTTGCCTCCCAATTGCTAGAGACATGGCGTATCAACAATCTTTCTGTTCCTCCCATTGTCTGTGCACCAGTCTCAACATTTTACTGCAACAGCATGGTCCCATTTCGCCTATCTTGACAGTGGCCTCGCTAACACCATGAGGTCGCTATCACATATCAACGCCTTCTCCGCAACGATTTCCTTGGGTCGATTCATAGAATGGGCTGGCTCGCCGCTGGGTGCTGGACTCTTATAGCAGGATACGCTCTCTACCGAATTCTTGTTAGACAAGAGGTTGTGAAATTACCTGCACAATCCCACCTTGCATCAGACTTGGTCCCTCTGGCCACAGAGATAGAAGAACCCCAGCCAGCATCGGATATTCTTGACGAAGAAAAGTCGAATCCTGCACGAGCCCCTCGCATTTCGCCTCCTCACTTGGAAGTCTCTCAGCCAGGAGACAGCGAACTACCTGGGAAGATGGCGGACGAAATAATACCCAAGACCGAGAGGATGCCTCCTCCACCATCTCTACCCAAACCCGCTCGACCAACAAGCTCACCTCGTCTGAACCCTCCGAATGTCAACACGATACCTACGCCACCTCGACCTGGCAATGGTTTTATTCGACCTCCTCCCTCCGCGGCGGCCTCGTTGCGTGTCCCTCCACTCAAGTCTCTTCCGAATGCCTCGCTCGCCCCAACTTCCTCCATCATGCCACCTGGCAAGCAGGTTTCACGCAAAGTGATCTTGGAACCGGGGCACTCTCCCTTGGACTGGGCGGCGCTAACAGCGAATCCCGACAGCCACCTGCGAGGAAAAGATGCGCCAGGTGAAAACCTGATGAGGGTCACGTCAGCACAACTAAAGCGGCAGAATGGAAGAAAAGGAAGAGATGCCTGGACGGTGTACCAAGGCAAAGTGTACAATATCACGCCATATATCCCGTTTCATCCTGGTGGCGCAGGGGAGATCATGAGGGGCGCGGGAAAGGATTCTGTCAAGTTGTTCATGGAGGTACATCCTTGGGTGAATTGGGACGCCATGCTAAGTGAGTGTCTCGTTGGAATACTTGTCAGCGAAGGCGAGGAAACGAGTGTCAATGCTGGAGGTCTGGACGACATGGATTGATGACATCTATCTCGACCAGCCGAGACATCAGGACCGAATCAGCCTGGTCTTGCAAGGACAGAGTGGAGGATTACAACAAGGGTTTTCATGGCACAATCCACGACATAGACTGGTCCTGTGGAGGTGTCCCTGCTCACACAAGACCTCTAGATTACGACTACTCCGGCAGAGTCAACGGAGCCTCACCTGATAGATACAGCATGTTTTATGATACCCCCGACTGCGATGGAACTTATCGAGGCAATGAGTGATGTTGAGTTTTTTTCTAAGTGTATACATGTTCTTGATCCATCGACGTGAACATCATTTCCTTCTCTGAAACGGCTTTTTCGTTGCTCGTGCCAGTTTTCATGAATGTGGTTATAGGGAGAGGCCAAGTCCACGCACTCTGCTAGTGACCACTCGAGCTTTCTAGAAGAGCGACGGGTATCTCTAAGGCCTTATTGAGGAGGCCTTGTGACAGTTCTCAGTTGAGCACGAGAACCCACCGACAATGGCGGGAAGGTTGTGTAGACAATCCCGCAACACCGGAGACTCATATCTTTGAGGCGATCAATGAGCCTCATTTCTGGGGAGTGCTCTTTTGGAAGTTGGAGAGACACGTGTCCGCCTCAAAGACAGAGGACAGTTGCATCTTTCGTACTCCGCCTTTCCTGTCCGCCTTGTTCTTTTCCCGGGTTCGATCACAACTCGTCCTTCTTGACCCCTTTGATACCCATCAGTTCGGTCTCAAAGACCAGCACGCTACCACCCGGAATGGGTCCGACACTCCTCTCGCCATATCCCATCTCGGGTGGGATGGTCAGCTTCCTCTTCTCCCCGATGCACATGTCGAGTAGGCCCTCGTCCCATCTACAAGATAAGTCCAGATACAGTCAGTCAGTCAGTCAGTCAATCACTCAGCCAGTTCACGAGCTTCACCCCCCCCCTCTTTTGCCACAAATAAGAGAGCCTGGCACCACTCACCCCTTGATGACCCTCCCCGCGCCCAGCTCAAAGCTCAACGGCGACCCTCGCGAGTACGACGAGTCGAACTCCTTGCCCGTGCTCTGCAACGTGCCCCGGTAGTGCACGTCGATCTTGTCCCCCTTGTGCGTCTTTCTCGTGCATTCAATGTCCGGCGTCTGGTACTCGATCTCGAGACCGCTGGAGGAGACGAGGTGGGCCAGGGCAAACGCCACGGCGAGGAGGGAGGAGAGGAGTCTCATTTTTGGTTTGTGTCGGGGCTGTTGGGATGTTGGGAAAGTGGTAGTAGAGGGAGAGGTCTTGTGTGTTTTCTTTGTTTGGCTGAGTGTGGTGCGTTTGGTGGTCCTGCAAGGTACAAAGCAAGACAAGGTGTACAGTCGGTTGGGAGTTGGAATGGACCGGTTCTGCTTAGAGGTTGGTCTGTGGCGGGGCTGCAGGGCTGCGGAGAACAATAGTTTCAACATCTCCCATTCCTTACAGCCTCCTATCCTTCTTCGTTGTCCAAGGTTATGCCACGACTGTGGAACATACCAATCAGCAGGAACAGGTCTGTTACATTGATCCAATCTCACTCGGCTAGCGACGAACAACAATGCACTCAAACATTCATTGTCGTCCTGGCTTTCCTGGCTTTGTCAAGATGGGCATCTCTTTGCTGTGGTCCTTGTGGAGAAATCTCCGCCCATCGTTTAGCACGCTCAAGTTTCTTACCAAGTGTGGCTGAAATACATCTCTGAAAGAACACGACTTGAAGACTCGTGAATCGACAAGGGATCTAACACTCAGGAGTCAACCCGTAGCAGACCCTTCTCGAGGAAGAAGAAGACGCCGGGCCGCATCGCAGAGTTGAATGACTACGAGTACACCGTGTACACCTGCACCTCTCTACCTTTGCCATTCTTTTCTTTCCATCGTGTTTTCTATGGCGTGGCACATAAAGTCACTGTGTCTTGCAGGACTCTGCAATATCTCAGAAAGACGATGACTTGTTGCGCATGAATGGTGCCAGTGGCATCGTTTACCTAATGTGTATCGCTTCACTCCTGATGGGTGCCTGATACACCCATCGTGGGAGTGATGGGCCTGAGGCCCTGAGCTGGCCCTTGTCTTTCTGTTTCTAGAAACCCGTCTGCCTGCACTCACTTGTGAGTGAGTCTCCTTTTCTCGTTTCTCTGCGTGTCTCGTCGGGACAGGTCCTGGTTATATACATCGTACACTCAATCATCAAGCTTGACTTACTCACTGCCCTTCTCTTTTCTATTGTCTCCCTCATCCAACTTTTGGTGGACCATAGCCTCAAAGATCTTGTTGGAGGGACATGATTACTACCAGCCCGGCATCTACTTGTTCATGGTTCATGCCACGGCGGGTGTCAAAACTTCGCCAACGCGGCTTCGAAGTGAACTATCGCACTGTGTCGTTCCTTGACATGAAGTTTCCTGGCACCTTCTGTGTCATCAAAGCTCACCTGAGCGTACCAGGCACTATTGTGTGCATTGGAAGCCGCCGTGTTCATCTCCACTCACAGTCGGTCCGTTCCCATTGCCAATGTTGCTGTTGTTGACGCCCGTCGGTGCCGCAAGGCTGCTTGATCGAGAAGCAGGGATTTTGCGACTGACTCCTCCCTTCTGCACAACAGCAACAGCGACAGCGCCAGTGGCATGCTGTCTTTTCCATCCCCGAGACGCGGTCGCTGCTCGAACTGCAATGCTTTGAGCCCGTCTTTCAGCCAGGAGCGTCTGCACTCGAACGTAACGTTTTACCTCCTCTGCCTTCTTGCGAGCAATCTTCTCCGCCTCGGCCTGCGCGACTCTCTCTGCTCGGGCCTTTTCCGAAGCCGTCTTCAGGCGCGCCTCTTTGACTCTCTCGTTCTCAGCCCGTCGGTCTTTGTCCACACTCGAAGGCGCCTCTGGGTGACTCTGAGCATCTACCTCGTCGAGCGGCCCGAAGAACTTCACGCCACTCATGTCAATGGACGGCGTGAAACCCTGCGTGAGAACTTTGCCGTGTTTTCCTACCGTTGCCTTGGCTCTGGCGAATGCCTCGGCCTTTGCATGTGTGAAGGGTTTAGCGGAGTGAGGGAAGAGACTCTGGGTCTGGTTTGCAAAGTCCTTGTTCATCTTGACAATGGCCGGGAGGGTGACTTACTTGGCAGGACTCTGGAACAAAGAAGGCCGAAATAAGGGAAAGACAAAGAAGTGAGCTGTGGTGAGATGTCGATGGTGGTGAGGCTTGGGATTGATGGAAGCCTGAGAGGGACAGGGAGACGGGGAAATAGATTTAAGGACGAGAAAGATACGAGGAGGGCTGCTTACACTCACGAATAACCACAGGCAGTGTAATTCACAGATATCATCGTCACTGTAATAATTTTCGGGGCGACAGGATTACGGTGTGACACGGCAAGGCAGAGCAGGGGCAGGCAAGGCAAGGCAAGGCAGTGGTGAAGATGATGTATCTCCATTTTGACAGGTTCTAACTACTACCTGTTCATTCACTTCACTTCACTTCTCATAGAATAGGCGACCACACTTCCTTCACCTAACAGCGTTCCTAATGACCATCCATCTACTGTAAATTACCCACACGATACTTCCCATCGCTAACATCCTCCTCCATATCAATCCTCTTGTTCACTGACGACAGTGAATGTTTTGTTGGTTGGGCTATAGCTTGTTTTTGATTTGTTCCTTGGGGCTGGCGTGTCTCTCTGCTGACTGTCGTTCAAGATATGGGTTCTTGTTGGGTAACGGGTGTTTGGTTGTTGAGGTTGAGGTTGAGGTTTGCTTGAGGGTGGCGAGACTCGGAAGAGTGGAAGAGATGTTTTGGTGATTGTGGCGTGTGTCGGCTGCGTTGAGCTTCTGGGTTGCTTCCGTCGTGGTGTCATGGAAGTCTCTCTGGAGGGTAGCGGGAGACAGCATTGGTGACGGCTGTTGCTGTTGCTGTTGCTGCTGCTGTTGCTGCTGCTGTTGCTGCTGCTGTTGCGGCTGGTTCTTGCCACTTCCTTCAATGCTCATTGTTCCTAGTTGAACAGCGCGTCGATCTCTTCTTGTCTCTGCTTCTCTGCTCTGCCTCTCTCAATCAGCTCCAGCAGCTCCTTTGAGGCGGAGTTGTCGATTGCCCTTGGAGCAATCAGAGACTTGGGCGCCGCCATGATTTTGGTGACGGTTCTTGGCTTGTGGCCACGAGCAGACGGGACGGTGTAGATGTCCTTGTGGGGACGCATGCCTGGAGAAGGCTTGACAAGGTCGTAGAGTATCTCGTTGTTGCCGAGAGCGTTGAGTTTGGCGGCCCCGATGGCGACAAGTGGGCTTCTTTTCTGAGGCTTGTGAAAAAGGGACGCCTTTTCACGTCGACGCAGCGGCGTGGGCTTGACGACCTTGGTTGGCTTTGGGGATGCCACTTGCTTTGGGGTGGCGGCTTGGTTGGACTTGTGTTGGGAGGTGTCCAGCTCCAACTTCTGGTTCTTGTTGGACGATTGAGAGGTGCTGGGAGTCGAAGTTGTGGCGGCCATGGTGACTAATGGTGATGCAGGTGTTGTATCTCGGAGGTGTTCTGGGTATATGTGAGGTTGACTGCTGGTGAAAGAGCAGTAGACGTCGAAGCTGTTGTGTTGCTTTTGTTGTAGCTGGTGTTGAGTCAGGATGTTGATCGAGCTGTCGAGTCCAGTGTGCAGAGTGTATGCAGATGGTACAGAAGAGACACAGGCGGAGGGAGAAAGGACGGGGTATTTGTATTTTTCCCATAGAACAACCAGAGAGAAATCGCTCAAGGTGTCTCACCGTCAAGTTCGGTTCTGCAAAGAACAATATCTGGGTTCCAATTCATCACAATAGGTCTGGCCAATACCATTGTTCAGTCCTGTTCGGAGGCTGAATGAGCCCTGCCATTAGCCCCAAGGGGCAGCAGAATGGAAACTCTATTCAAGCATTCAGCCGGTTCACTGTCACCTCACCTATTCACTCTTCACTATTCAAATTAAATGCAGTGGCTGGGAACAGTACAATGAGAAAGCAACCTCACTTGAATCGGTCCAGTGACCTAGTGATGGGCCAGGCGACGTTGGTCCTCTGGCTCCGAAGGAATTGAGTTCAAAGGTTGTCAATTAGCCAATGGCCATACCAGGATTGAATGGACCAACGAAGACTCCCGAGTCTGATGTGTTCTCACAGGGTCCTTTGCAGCACGTGCTCGAGAAGTGGATCGAAAAGCAGTGCTTCGTCGCAGTTCTCGGGAAAGAAGCTAAATTTTATTCAGGCGCCTGAACCAAATGCTCTTTTTGTGGTTGAACCAAACTCCAGGACACGGCCAACAATATTCAGGGTGGGTACACTGATGCTGTTCTCTGATTCGCCAGGAGCGTCGATGTGAGCCTCGTAGCTCCCAATGCATCCATGGTTGATAAGAAACATTTTCCCATCAGTCGTCCACAGAACGCAAAATGTGCCGCTTATGGAGAGCAGAGCTGCATGTGGTCACGCCTCGTGTGAATCGACTGCAGTTGTTCTGGTGGGGCTGCTCTACTGCGCACGGAAGAACTACCCAACTTCAGGAGGTTGATCCGGTTTCGAAGAGCATCTTAAGGAGCGATTTCAGCAGGACGTACAGCCCAACAGCTTTCGCAGCTGTTTCTGGTAGGATTTGACGGCGCTGAAGGTTGAGGACTTGAGAACCTGAGGACTAAGGAATTGACATGAAGTTCCAACAAGGTCTCACTGTAGTGACGATCACATGATCTCGCGATTGCCAAGATTTTCGCGCTTCTGGCTTCGACGCGTCTTCTTCTGTCTTCACAATTCAGCGCAGAATCGATGTCAATCGGCGACCTGCATGCGAGATGCAGCTTCTCGTAGGGCTCAATGCCTCTCAGAGAGCTGCAGTGACCTCGCCAGCATCAGTCCTCCAAGTCCTGGCTCCCCCCGGGTCCGGCAAAACAAAGACGTTGACGTGTCGTGTCGCGTATCTCATTGCCCACTACGGCCATAACCCTCAAAATGTCATCTGTTGCACGTTCACCATCAAAGCCGCACGAGAAATGCGGGAACGGCTGAGAGATCTTGTCGGGTGCGAACTCGAGTCGAAGTTGGTTCTCGGGACTATCCACTCCATCTGTCGACGTTACCTAGTCGCATACGGCCATCTGATTGGAATCCCCAAGGGCTTTGGGATTGCCGACAGTTCGGACAGCAATAGCATAATCAAGCGCATCGTCAAACGTCTCAAGCTGTCAATAGAACCCAAAAATGCAAGAGGCAGAATTTCTAGTCATAAGGCCAAAGGGAAAACATTGCAAGACCTGCCCAAGAAACCACCCAAGGAACTCAAGGAACAAGAGTTCATAACCATCTTCCACGAGTATGAAGCGGCATTAGCAACATCCAAAATGCTGGACTATGACGACCTGCTCTTACGATGTGTTGATCTTCTGCGAGCATATCCGGCCTGCGTGTCCAACATCGAAGCGTTGTTAATTGACGAGTTTCAAGACACCAACATTGTACAGTTCGAATTGATGAAATTGCTGGCGTCGGCAAACAGAAAGATAACCATTGTTGGTGACCCGGACCAGAGCATTTATGGATTTCGATCTGCGGAGATTGAGAATTTACGACGAATGAAAGTCTTTTACCCGGAGACAGTGGTCATCAATCTGGAAGAAAATTATCGTTCTGCTTCGGCCGTCCTGAAACTTGCCCAGGATGTCATTGAACAAGACAGCGACCGTCCGCAGAAGAAAATGAAAGCGACTCACTGTCATGGAAGTCAGCCAGTGCTTCGGCGTCTACCCAATCCGAATGAGGAGGCCTTGTGGATTGCTAGCGAGATCAAGAGGACCATGACCATGACTGGTGGTCTGCTTTTGCACTCTGACATTGCCATCCTCCTCCGATCAGCGTATCTCTCGTTGCTTATCGAACGAGCGCTGGCAAACACTGGCATTCCCTACCGCATGGTTGGTGGCCAACGCTTCTTTGATCGCGTGGAAATTCGAATCATTATCGACTACCTCCGCACAATCAGCCATCCTGAAAACAATCAGGCTTTCACTGCCATTATAAACACGCCGGCACGCAAGATTGGAGATACCTCAGTTGCTGAAATGATCAAGCTCGGGGAAGAACATAAGCTCTCACTCTGGGCTGTAGTGCAGAAGGTTCTCACAGGAGATTTAACGCCCGAGAAGAGGCTTTCGAAGCCTGCAGAGCAGGAGCTGGGCCGCCTGGTGAACCTCATTAGAACCGGCCGACAAAAGCTGAATACCGCCCATCCTGCCGCTACCGTCCCCTCGAAGCTGATTGATTTTGTCGTTGAATCTTTGGATTTTGAGAACTATTTGAAGAAGAAATACAAGGACGACCACGAGGACCGACTTGAGAACGTCAAAGAACTCATCACGCATGCCTCTGAAGTTCTGCTACAGAGTGCCACTGAAGAACCTCTTGCGACTGTTGAAGGTGTGGAACAGCAGGTCTCTAATGGGGGCCAGGAAGTTCTTGCTCAATTTCTGGCAAATATTGTGCTCTCAACCGATGTTGAGAATACCGAGGAGGGAAAGGACAAGCCTCGTGTCACCATTTCAACTATTCACTCAGCAAAAGGTCTAGAGTGGCCCGTCGTATTCATCCCAGCTGTCTACGACGGTTCCATTCCTCATTCTCGAGCCGAGAACACCGATGAGGAACGTCGACTGCTGTATGTCGCCATGACACGAGCTCAGGCTCTTCTCACCATGACTTTTCCGGTGATGCAATCCCGGGATCAAGGCGAATCTGTTCTCTCCCAGTTTCTCCCTCTCAAAGTCCAACGTCATCTCTCTCAAGTCGGTCCACTGTTCCATGATCGAGTGATTGAGGACATTGCAAGCATTCTTCGACGGCCTATGCCATCTCAGGAAGACTTAGCAAAGAATTTGGAGGGCATAAAGGGCGAAGAAAGTCCAGCCGATGACATTTGGCCTTCCGATGGGAGCCGCCGACCCACGCCGATGCTTCCTGGCGCCACGGATGGCACTACAGAGTTTGGGAGGCCATTGGCAGAGGTCCTTGCTGCCCAAAAGCAACAATCTCGGGGTTACGCGAGTCATGCCAGACCAAACGCTATCTCTGGTTCGGCTGGCTCAGGATTGGTAACCACTATGACCAATGTCGATGCGCTCTCTACATCAAACATGTCTCTTGGCTTCACCACTGCTAGCTATCAGCTGAAAACTAGCGTCTCGAGCCTCAGGAGGGCTTCGTCTGATGTTGTCCCACCTGCGAAGAAGCCAAAACTTTCAAAGTCCCTTTCGGGGCAGGGCACTATCGGAAACTTCTTCTCGAAGCCTGCTTCCCAAGCATCTCAGCAGCCGGGATTTTCGACGGTGGGATCGCACGTTGGGTCCGTACATCAAAGTAGATCCATGGACGGTGGAGGCACGTTTTCTCATCAAGGCTGTGAGGGCCGCGATCTTACCAGCTGCGGCATCCCTGAGGAGTTGTCTTCGCACAGACTAAATTTCCGTAACGGTATGGTTCAAGGACGTCCTACACCTCTGAAGGAAGCACGCCCAGAATCCAAGAATCGGTATGCCGGCCTTTACAGCTCATCACCTCCTCAATCCCCCGTACAAAAGCGGGAATCGCATGTTCCAGATGATGCTGCTGGTGAGAATCAAAATTGGAAGGATGCAGCGGCCCCAAAGACATTAACGAATTACTCCCTCGCCAAGCCGGCCAGTACTTTGCACAAGACCACCATGTCTTCGATCGGCGGTGGTGGTTCTGCAAGCTTTTCTTCAGGAGCTGTTAGGAAGACACTTGGGGTTAGACGTACCATGAACGGGTGGGAGAATAGGAAGAATCGGTGATTGAACCTGCGGTCGGCGGCTGCATAGGTGCCGCCTTCCTATTTGTCTGTTATTGGCTCTCACATGACCTTGAACGATACCACGATGTTATGATGGAGTGGACCAATTGGTTTGAGAAGTCGTGGGCCCCATGTCGGTCTACGATATCCAGAGATGCGCATAGAGGATAGACAGCAAGGGCAAGATTCGAGTTGAACTGTAATATTAGACAACGATAGTTGTTGTACATGTAATGGATATGGGAAGACACTACATCAAAGGACTGATTGAACGCTTATGGTTCTTTGTTGCTTTCCACGAGTATTTCCGTTACCCTGCCAGGCATATTGATATCCTGTGGGTAGCCAAAAAGGAGAACGTGAATGCATGACCTCACTAATAGGCGACAGTGATTCATTCGGGGAGATACAGTTTGTAGATATGTAGATATGTAGGGAGAGGCATAGATAGATATATGTTGACTATGAAAAAAGAGGTAGAGAGGGCAGAAAAAGGCTTGTTTCCGAGATGCAGGGGATATATATATATCCAAATCACGGGGGAAATAGTTGAATATTATGCAATCTTCTCCCCTCACTTAATCCCTTCCACGTCTCACGCTTTCACGCATTGGTCGGTCTGTCCATCTCGAATCATTGACAAAGTCCCATCTTTGAACCGCTGACTGTCTGTCTCTTTACCCACTCACTCCACTGCCTTGTCCAAAATCTCGCCGATCGCAGAAAATCGTCCGCTCTTTTACAGAGCAAACACGCCGAGCAGCGCGACCGCGATGGCCGAGAGCATGGCAAGGCCGTTCAGCGTCGTGCGGCCCGCTGCACCGGTGTACTGCGCCACCCAGGGGCTGGTGCTCGCGGGAGCGACTGGCGTGGCCGGCGTGGCAGAGTTGCTGGCCGCGGCGACCCACGCGGACGCGGACGCGGACACGGGCGCAGACGAAGACTGCACGGGCGCGACGGTCAAGGTGGTCGCGAGGGTCACGCTCGGGCTCACCCACGCGCTGCCTGTGTCCGTCGAGACAGGCGACACGGGTTTGCCGCTGCTGCTTCCGCTGCCGCTGCCGCTACCCCAGCCCCAGGATCCGCTCGGTCCTGGAGCTGGAGCGGTCGAGGTCGGCACGACGGCCGGCGAGGTGTTTCCAGCTGGAGCTGCACACGGCACGGTCGCGACGATCGGCTTGCTGAATGGCCAACCGGCAGACGGCGTGAAGGTCACGGTCGTCATGCACGCCGTGGGCACGGGCGTCTCGGTGCAGCCGCAATGCGTGGTCGTGATGGTGGTGGTCTTGGTGGTATAGCCTGTAGAGCACGGTTCCGTCCATGTTTCTGCGACGAGGCACAAAAGAGAGTCAGTTTTCTATCGAAGTCTGTGGGATCTTGGGTGACATCAAAGAAATAAGGGAGCGGTGCTTTGACAAAGAGAGAGAGACTAGAGACTTACTGGTAATTGTCACGGTCACGATCGAGTCCGAGTCACTCCAGTCGCCCCAGGTCGTTGCTGACGTTGTCGTCGCCGGATCAAAAGGCTTGCTGCTCGATGTGGTCCAGTCTTGCCACTGGAACGTTGACGAGCTCGATGAAGCGGGCGTGCTGAAGCTCACGGGGCTGGAGCTCGGGCCGGACCAGTCTGCCCAGGTTGTAGTAGTGGCGGTGAAAGGCTCGGACGTCGTCGCTGGCCCTCCGCCGTAATGGGTGCTACTACTGCTACTGCTGCTGGTGCTGCTGGTGCTGCTGCTGGGGAAGAAAGGTCCTCCCGTAACGGATTGCGACGTGGTGCTTGTCTCCGGAAGGCTGGTGGAGCTGCTGGGGGTTGTAGTGGGCACATACGGCGAGGTGGTCGTCACGGTTGAGCTGGTCGTGTCGATGACAGGCCCACCGGTTGTGGGTGCCGATGTGCTGCTAGACTGGGTGGTCGTCAACGTCGAGCTGGTGGTGTCAATGACAGGGCCACCGGTTGACGGTGCCGATGTGCTGCTTGACTGGGTGGACACGGGGCTCGTTGAAGTGACCAGCGTCGTGGTGGTGGTGGTGGTGGTCGAGGTCGAGGTCGAGGTCGATGATGATGACGGTGCCGATGTCGTGGTGACCAGTGTGGTTGTGGTTGTCGTCGTAGTTGAAGTTGTCGAGGTCGAAGTCGAGGTTGTGGTAGAAGTTGAAGTTGTCGTAGTGACGGGTCGGGATTGGTAAATCTTGACAGAGTTGACATCCCAATATGCCTCCCTGAACTGCGCAGGGTTGCTGCCAACAAAGACAGAGCACTGACTCACGCCCGTTCTGGCTGCACAACCACCGCTGGACCAGGTCGCGTCGGCCCAGTCACCGCAGAAGGTGGTGTCAAAGATGATCCTGTGATCCTCAAAGTTGGCATCGATATCGCAGCCTGGGCCATTGAAGATGGAGGCCGGCAATCCCCAACCAGAAGGGTCAGGAGTTCCAGACGTGATGTCCGAAGGGATGGAGTTTCGGGGGAAGAACCAGATCTTGATGGCGTCCGAAGTCCACTCCATCGCATAGACACCGCCTCGGTTGGAGTTGAAGCCCGGTCCGTAGCTGTTGGAGTGGGTGTCGAAAGCACCACAACCTTGGGCATTGGCGCCCGTGTTGACGTCGTACTGACAGTTGACACCGTTCGAAGTACCGGTCATTTCCAAGGGACTTTGAGAAATAACGCAGGTGCCAGCAACGTGGGCCGCGGTGAGGACGGTGTTTTGGTTGTTGGCGCCTTCGATAATGTCGACTTCTCCGTCTGAGGTAGAAAACGTTAGTATCCCCATCCTTGAAAAACGACGAGGCCGTTCGTCCATCCTGGAACTCCCACGGGATGAGCATCCAGACGAAGCACTCACTATAAGGCCATGTGCCAGAACCCAGAGTCCAGAATGCCGGCCAGACACCGCAGCCCGAGCCATCTGTCGTGGTAGGCATGTGTTTGATGTCGGCGACAAAGAGACCATGTGTCCACGACTTGACGCTTTCAATCCTGACACTCGGCCGTCCAACACCGTTGATACCCGAGTACGCCACGTTGCCATTGTATGGGTTCTGGCTGTCAACTTTCATTTGTACCGACCCGCCATTCGAAGAGATCAAGTTGTTTGCCCGGGCCGTACCCTCATCAACATAACTGTCCAGAGTCAATCTTCGACATCGCAGCATGATCCTCGGTGAACGTACGTGACGAATCCATGGGTCGGATCGGCGTCCTGAGCACTCGTCAGCAATAAGACTCTATAGCGGATGGCATCTCGCGAACCGCAAAAAAGTTGAACCCATCGAAGAAATTTGAGCCCGAATATTCCGTGTCCAGAGCATAGTAGGTTGAAGTATCAGCAAAAGCAGACGAAGAAAGCAACAACAAAGCAGAAACGAGTGTGGTGCTCGACCTCAGAAGGAGTGATGAGGACGGCATAGTGGTAAACGAGTGACACGCGAACGTGAGATAAGGAATGGACTGGCGACACAAAGCACACGCAACAAAGGAGAAGGGGGACAAGGACAAGTAGGCACAATAGGTTTTCTATAGATGCTCCGAACCAGGCGACGCCATGGCGAGCATCTAGATTTGGGGGCCATCCAAGGTTCCACCCACAGCGCTTGTAATGCGCAATTGCCACAAGGCGCTTCGGATGTGGCACGTTGGCTGTAAATTGACTCACCGAATTGGTTAGCGAGATCAAGGTCTCAAGGAGATGTAACGCCTCTCAGGCAAGCCACTCGATCCGGCATATTGAACATGCAAGGATCCTTATAAGGAGGATTCAGGCTCCCGCGAACAGGTCGGACGACGGCACAGTCAGTCTGCCCGGTGCTTTAGGAAGCGTCTGCTTCATCTGAAATCAAAGGCTGTGGAGGCCTCAAAAGCCGTTGATCGTTTTTGGATGGGTATTGTGGGAACAGCTCCGCATCCAATTTAGAAACCGATCTCGAGTCCAGTCGTCAGTGTGGAAGCAAGCGAGGCTTTCTACCGAAGTGATGGAACTTGTGTGGGAATGGGTCGGAGAAAAGGTAAAAAGGAATAGTCCAAGCAAGCGTCGAAAAGGAGGCAAAGGAGGCACAGATAGCCTTGTGATGGTGGAGCTTAGTTATTGCTTGGCGCCAGTTAGGCCAATCAAGATGACATATCAACTCCACTTGGACGTCCATAACGTCCCGAAACGGAAGCAAACAACTCAAAAGTTCCCCTGAACCATGCAATTTCTTCGTCACGATCCTTGTCTGAGGTGTCTATTATTATTTGTTGTCGTTGCTTCTTCTCTATTCGTGAACTGTGGCTGAGCTGTGTCGAAATCGTTCGGGCCACGATCGCCAGCCAGCCACGTGTCGCTACTGAACTCGGGGCGGATCGGGCTGCTGGTAGGGTGATCACCCGCATCGAATCTGTTTTCCACCACCGCATTTTGCTTGTTTTTGGCGAGTCAACAGGTGACAGCGCGTGTAAACATTGGGCGTTTGAACTTTCGAATGAATGATTGCCCACATTTCAACGGGAAATGAAATTGCCATGCCCAATTTGATCCTGACAAAGTCGACCTTCACGCCAAAAACATAACAGGGCACTTGGTGAACGCGTCCTTGAGCAACACATTGAGTCCCACGAGCTATATAAATGTCTGCATGTCGACGTCCGCGGTGAGCGCCCACGATTAAACCTACCTGCCGATCACAGATCTGTTGAAGCCATGTCTAAGTGTGTCAGCAAATCACTTCCCATATGCAGCCTTCGAGTTATATTCTTTGCTGTGTGTTGACATGCATTCATAAATTGGCGATCCGCGGTTGAAGCGCGACGGTTTACGCCAAATCAGGACTTCTACTAGATATGATGAGCAGCATGTGTCCAGCGCTGCCATAACCTATCAAATTTCAGAGTACCGTCAAAGTCTGGCTCCAGGCATAAGCTTGGGGGTTGACTTACCAGCTTCTCGTCTTTCCTTGTGTAGGGGACTGGGACTGCTGCTTCGTAAACCATTCAACCGCCTTGAAGACAGTTTGTATCTGCTTCTCTCGAACGTCGAGTTCGTCTTTCCTGAAATCGCAGTGCAGTTGCCAGAGACAAAATCTAGCCGACACAGCATAAATATAGCCAGCGTGCAACGCGTCCCGTTGCTGTGAGCGCGGTAAAGGAAATGCTCCGAGGCTTCTCTTTCATTTCCCCGGAAAGGGAGCGTGTCTTGGTTGGATCGACCACTGTACGAATTGGCAATGTATATGATATACATCTTCCATGCCAGTTTCGTGTCTCGATTGGGGACCCTGTCAAGATGGCACCTGAAGTTGAATTTAAGCTCTTTGGTACTAGAGTCCTTTATTGGCGCTCGAGTTGAGAATGCTGGAGGTTTGCGAAACCGAATTGAGAACCTCTTCAGTAGTAACTGCGAATGCAGTATTTACCGATCAAGTGTCAGTCACTAAGGGAACCGTACGAGGGTGTACTTCTCTTCCCAGGATGAACTCGAGGTGACGGGTGAACAATGACGCAGTAGATTCATGTATGTAAGCGAATATTCTCGGAGGAATTGTCATAGACTTTCTCCCTGTCCAAGAGCCTCTTCACCTCCTAAACTTTACCAGTCGACGTATCAGCACCAGACCGGCTACTCATCTGCAAAGATGTGGTTATGCTTCCTTGATGATAAAGGACGGGGAAACTGCGCAAAACTCTTCCCCAGCTCCCTTTGGTCCCTCGGGGCGTCGTCTTACGCAAGCATGCTCGAATGAACCCGCATTGGTAGTTCACCCATGCTCTCATTCCCACGTCCATCCGCAACCAGTCGGCAGATATTATTTCTGTGGGGGAGACCACCTCAAAACTAGTCGCAGTATTTGGAGGAGTTACGACGTGGTGACCCCAACTCATTATGCATCTCCATGGATGTCCCTCACGACGATGATAGCGCACTTCACCAGTCTACCCCGGATGCGACGGTCGCAGACCCTCTACTTGTTCCCTGACACCCGCAGGCCCCGGTCAGGAAGTGGTATTGTCAACATCACGGCCGTCCTCAGACAACCAAGATGCCACTGATTCGAGTGGGAATTGTTGGCGCCGGCATCGGTGGCCTAGCCGCTGCCATTGCCATTGCCCGCAGTGGATGTAACGTCACGATCCTTGAGCAGGGTGTCGATATAGGCGAGATTGGCGCTGGCATTCAGCTGCATCCCAACGTATCCCGTCAACTAATCCGCTGGGGTGTCGACAAGATCATCGAGAATGACCTGGTCGAGCCGGAAGAACTCAACACTTGGGACTGTGGGAGCGAACTGCGCTTGATCGGACGCACTGATCCGAAACAGGTCGCGAGACAAGCCGGCTTTCCCTGGTGGGTGGTCCGTCGCGACCATCTCTACACGGGACTCGCCCAGTCGGCCTCGGAGCATGGCGTCAAGTTGATCATTCAAGCGAGAGTGGAACACATCGACGACAGCTCGTCCCCCGTCATGGTCGTCACATCCTCTGGACAGACGTACGAGTTTGACCTCTTGGTCGGCGCGGATGGCCTCAGATCTACCGTCAGACAATATCTCTATCCTGGCGTCATGCCATATCCGCCCAACAAGCTATGTGCCTATCGAGGCGTGCTACCATTCTCTTTGATCTACAGAGAAATTCCCGAGGCAAAACTATTCGTCGGTAACAGATTGGACACTTGGGTCGGACCAAAAGGGTGTGAAACATGACTGCTTGGAGCTGCAGAGTTGAAAAGCTTACAGAAAGGACAGATATGTGCTGACCTATCCTACTTGCGGAGGAAAAGAGCTGAATGTCGTGACCGCAGCCGAGTCCAAAGACTATGTGACCAAAATGGAAGACATCAACATCGAAGACTTCTACGGGTAGAGAGGTATAGCCCCCATCTCAACATGGCTGACCATGTCCGTGACAGGTTCTATACCAACTTCCATCCATTCGTCCAGAAGCTCCTGCGTCTGGTCAAATACACCAAACGCTGGCCTTTACTGCAAACACCTCGAATGCCGTCCTGGTCCAACAAAGCCAAGAATATTGTAATGATAGGCGATGCGGTTCATGCCATGCAGAACCATATGGCTCAAGGTGCGGGAACAGCTATTGAAGACGGAGCATTCCTGGGCCAGGTCATTAGCGAGGTGGCCCGCGGCGCCATCGACGTGTCGGAAGCCGTGACTCTCTTTGAACAGAGACGGATGCCGAAAGCATGGATCAAGCAACAACTCAGCCTCCAATCCGGGTTAATGTATACCTTGGCGCGACCAGAGGATCGTGAAAAGCGCAACCGAGCGGGCAGGTTTGAAGTCGCGCGGTGGGAGGACAACCCAGCCCGACAGGAGCACAGCCATATCGAATACCGCAATTGGCCGGTGGCCCGTTGCCTCGAGACGGCCAAGTCAATTTGGTATTACGATGCCGAAGGAGACGCCGACAATGCAGTGCTGGAATATTTGATGAACAAGGGCACCGTGGACGGTTTCACTCAGATGAGTGAGAATCTAAGCCACAAATGGAGTTCGATCGTGTTTGGAAACGGGGTCGACGGCAGCTGGGTCGAGCCCCAGGTCGACTACCAGCACATGAAGAGCTCTCTCTACAGAAGCAACGAAGCCGTGAGGGATGGGATACAGGAGTACGGTCTGCATGAACAGGATTATGATCGTTTCGGAAAGGGGTTGTAACTGCGCCAGGGCACAGCAGGTGATGTTAGCAGGCGCTAGTGCCGCAAATAATTAGCTTGTAACCTAAGGACCTACCACCCGGTTAGTGTCCCACTAACAACACCTTTTTAACGTCATCGATGTGTCGAATAAGGAAATAATGAGCCAAAGCAAAGGCGGGGTTGCGGTCTGCAGCCACAATGATCAGCTGCGCCCCAGGCTGCCCAGTTAATATGAGCTGAGATGCCCCCGCTTCTGCCTGCGCCCAACGCTCTCACCACTCTGTACCACTCGCTTTCTGTGCCTCCATCCTCCGACATGTGAAGCTTACAATGGAGCTTCCAAGGTCCCCCTTCCGGTGATTGGCACAGCTCAAAACTGATCAGCCTGACCGCATCTCTCAACCCAGAGTGCCCAGTCAGAAGCTTAGCGGGCTTGCGGGGTCTTGTTCGAGGCTGTGAGGGATGGATGTGTTTCACGCCCAAGTCTGTTACCCTCGTTTTTTTCCAATCGACCAAAGTCTCCAG